AAAGAAGCAATAGAGTCACAAAATAATAAAATAAAATATGAAACCCATAATAAGATTATTCAAGCTCAAGCTTACTTGAAAGATATGCAAGTCATTTAAGCTAAAAGTGGAAAATAAAATCATACTCATTCATGAATATTTCAAAAATACTGAATTATTTATATTATTTATGTTATTATTTACCTTTTTGATTGATGATATTTTACATGATTAGCCGACTATTTAACAACCTCGTTAGTCTTAAAAATACATTGATGTCTCGTACACATATCTAAGCTATAATGTGCACCTATTAATATATCTAAGTTAAAATGTGCACGTTATATACGTGATTGAATACACAAAGCATGTGTTATAAGCATATGAATCATCATCCAAACACAAACAAAATTCTAAAAAGTAACTACGTTATGTATAGTCATCCATATAAAAACATGAGTAAGGATAAAACTAGGATGCATCAACTAGCTTGTCATCCTTCTCGATGTTAAAACATGTGACATCCACGCTCGGGTATACTACGACAACTTGAGACATAACCTTTTAAACATCCTTTTCAAACACGTTTGACAATTGTGTCTTGGTCGCATGAAGTTTCAACTCCAACGGTTCCTGATGCTCCACCTCTTCCTCCCTTCTCTTTTCGTCCTCGACTAGCTTTACCTTTGACTCAACCTTCTCCATGTTTGACTCCTCCCATTGTCTTTTTTTTATGCACTTTGATCTTCTTCAACGTCCTCTCTATGTTTAGCACACGACCTGACAACTCAATATTCTATTTTGCCTTCTCGGACAAGACTATCATATGATCATCTAGTTGGCGTTGAAGGATGGCCTTTTATCTTTCCACTTCCTCCACTTTGGCATGACCATCATGGGTCTCCTTCACCACCCCTTCCTTTTGTGGCATATAGTCATAATGCGCACTATCATAATCTCAATTGAGTCCAAACAGCTATAAGGACAAATTACCTTCAACAAATCTTAATTGAAGGGAGTAAGGAAGTTCGAGCCCATTTACCACTCAAGCACTCATCAACATGGTCAAAAGGACCATCTTGGAGGAATGATAATGAGTCTGTCATTGGAGGAATGACTTGGAGAGTAGTGTCGGGAGAAGACACTCATTTATGATAAAATGTTGCATTTGGCACTTCATCAGACTCCTCATATATGACCATGGACCCGAGCTCCACCAAGATAGAGGTAACCTTAGTCTTCTTACTGATTCTCAAACAAGAGTCGAGGAACCCTCGAGAGCTGGCTTAGTAAGGAAAATTTTAATATTCAGAGGAGTGACGCTTAACTTGACCCGAATTTTTTTATAGTCAAATAAACACAAACAACGAGTCGACACGTGTCATGTCCAAAGATATAGTAGGAAAAATAATAAGTTTAAACTTAAAAAATTATCAAACCCAAAACTTGGTAGACGAGTAAAAAGATATATATAATTAGTGGTGTGATTATAGATAGTTTCAGGCTGTCTAATTACCTTGTTGACATGTCATTGTTATGTGTTCCTCTTATCATTTACAAATTTGTACATATGTTAATCTAGTATACAAGTTAGATCTAATTTATAAAACTTATTAACATCAATTTCATTTAGTACAAAATGGAAATTATTAGTCTTCTTACACTCGATTTAAATCTCATTTTGAATCCAAATATTCAAGATGAATAATCAAAAAGACCTACTACAACACATATTCATAACGAAATAGATTCTCTAAATCTAAATAATTAAAAGAAAATGTTCATTTTATTTAAAAGTCATAATCATAATAATTATTTATAAAGACAATAACATTGTAATATTTTATTTTTAATATTGATATGTTTTATTTTTAAGTATTATTAGACTTTTTTAATTACAAATTTTAATTATATTAATTTATAATAAATTATAAAAACACACAACTAATTTTAACATGACTAAAAAAATAAAAATAACTAAACTCTTGTAATCAAACAAGATTTAAAAAAAACTCATACCAAATGTCACAACTTCATTGAAAAAAAAAGAAATTATGTTATACAACACAATTTTATGTTATACAGCACAATTTTTTCTTACGTCTCGGAAAAACATGATTTATCCATCTTAATAGTTTTTATTTTATTTTTTAAAGCGTATCAATTTCACAATAACATCGACAAATTACACCAATTTGATAAAATCCCATTTTTCGTTAAAAACAATCTTTGTTAGTCTTATTTACACTGTTGTCTTCCTTCTTATCTTAAACTACTGTCTATTGCTCTTTCTTTATTTTAAATCATGTCTTTTTCTCTCCGCATATTCCGAATATGTAATTCCTTGTACGCTGATTATTCTGACCGGAGAACAATACCAATTATAAAAATCGTAAATTGCATAAGTGTTTCGTTCAAAAGTCATATTTTGAAAGAAAAAAAAAATGCAATTAACAAACAAAAATCAATAAAGTTTAAAATGTTAAAAAAAAAAAAAGACGTTAATATTGTCAAAAGGATCAAGAAAGAACTAGACACTCAAGCAACAATTAGGAAATTGGTTAAAAGTAAAGTTCAAATTTTAAAGATTTCAGTGTTTATTTTGGTGATCTGTAAGTGCATTTATTCAAACAACAGTCACTGACATAATGGACACTCAAATTTGCGTTCAAAACATGATATGTGTTCAGATACGCACGTGGACTTGTCAGTAATTTACATATATTTTATTTTAATATTTTTAAACCATTTTTTAAAATAAAATCAAAATAAATAATATAGCGGATACAATAATCAATTTAACGATGACGGATACATTTATTTCTAAACGGTATAAAATACTATTTGGAGGTGGGGTACTAGTCCTTACAAAGAAGGACTTTGTGACTTTATGGCTTTATATAAAAAATCATTTATAACAATTTATATTTTTGTGTGCTTCTTAACTAATGAGATCTTCATGTTGTTCAAATTAATATTTATATATTCATTCATCTTGTTAAAGTAAATATTTTTATATATATCAAGGGTCGGTGGCTTCTAATAAAAGTGAAAAGTAAAAATGATTAATAGAAAAATAATATTTTTATTTGTAAAAAATAAAAAATATATTTTTTATATTTATATTTTATTTTTCAACATCATCTATATATTTTATTAAAAGAAAAGTAAAAAAAATATTTTATAGAATTAGCTAATAAATGATTATTCATTATGATATTATAATTTTAATTTATATATTTATATTCAATTATATACATTTATATTAAAATATATTATTAAAAAATATTAACTAAAGTGATTTTATTTATATAAAAAATAATTACATAATTAATTTTGTAATAACATAAATGTTAAATTAATTTATTTATTTCATATTTTTTAAAACATTCTTTATTTTTATATTAATTTCTCTCAAACTAATAAATATTTTACTGTTTTTTTTTTCTGTCCACTTTCTTTTTTTATTAGCCAAGGCACCCTAAATATTTTCATTGCTTTCAATAGAGTGACTTAAGAGCATTTATAAGTTCTAAAATATTTGTGAATGTAACCAAATTTAGGGCCATATTCATGTCTTCTATAGGGAACATAAATGCATTGTTACTTTGTGTCTGTGACACTGACTATAGAGGTTTGTTTGCACCACAGAAATTCAAAGTGACCACTTTTCCCAATATTTACATTTTACTTTATGTTTAAAATTGTTTTATTTTATAGACAAATTATTTCTTAATTTATGTTTTCTAAACTATTAAAAATTTGTTTTTTTTTTTAAGATTAGACTGAAACTTTACCAAATATTTAAAATGACACGAGTGTAACTTTCAAAGTAAAGAAACAAATTAAACTTTATAATATAGCATAACATCACCTAAATAAAGTACAACGAAATATAACTTTTAATTTCAACAAAATAAGCATGCTTTGATCATATACTTTATACAAGTTTTTTATTATTTATTTAAAGCTTAAATTATAAATTTAACCCTAATAAAATAGTTTTAATAATTTAAAAATACTTTTAAGTTTGTAAAATAATTTGAAAAAAAGAAAGAGTATCGTTTTATAAAATCAAACTTTGTTTCGACTTATATATTGTTGACTTATTCATCAACACATTCAATCAAAACATAAATATTGTTTTATCAGACATTATGTCACATTAAAAGTGCCATAATATTTCATTATAAGCACCATTTCTTCATAATCAAATTGAATAAAGTTGAAAAAAGTTAACAACTTCATAAATATTATATTAAATTCAAACACTTATGATAATCACTTATCATATGTTCACAGTATATAACTTATTAGCCATTTTCATATTTGTATTCATTGCTCAATGAATATTTTTTTATAACTGTTAAAACTTAAATGAACTAAATATTCCATTTTTTATTAATTTTATTTTTTAACTGAATTGTCTTTTTATCTTTTAAAGTGTATATATATTTCTTCTAATTATATTTCAAATATTAATAAATAAAAATATAACAATTAAAAATAACTATCATATTCATCTTTTGTTTAAAATAAGTTTTTCTACATTATCACTAATGATAATATATTTTAGTCCTTACATATATTAATTAAATTATATTTTATTATAACATAAATTATATTTTAATGATTAAAATAAAAAATATTTAATAATAAATTAGACTTTCAAAAGGTATATTTTAATTTATTTAATTCTGAAATTTCCATTTCATTTAAAAAATAAAAAAATAATTCTTAATTTATTTAAAAATTCACCAATTTACGTAATTTTTTTTACTTTAATACTACAACAAAGAATCCTTACATGTGAGTACACCCGATGCTGTCTATTTTATCATAGCTACGTATTTTTTATTCTCAACCAAAGTCGTTTATATATTAAAGTTTTTAATTGTTGAAAGAGGACAAGGCGCAGATTTGTATAATAATGGTATGAAGTGGAGTAGATCCTAATACGCTCCACGTTTTTCTGTTCTCTACTCTTCTGTGTGTCTCTTTCATTTCATCATCCATCGGAAATGGCTCTTGAGGTTGCTGTCAAGGCCGCTGTTGGTGCTCCAACTTTGCTCGGAGACTGTATATCTCTTCATCTCTCACACAGAATGTCTCTGGTTTTGATCAGTTATTTATTTATTATTATTTTTGGGTTTGATTTTGTATTTAGGTCCATTTTCACAAAGGGTCCTATTGACTTTAGAGGAGAAGAAGATCCCCTACAAACTGCACCTAATCGATCTCAGTAACAAACCCGAATGGTATATTCTTGGAATTTAATGAGCCATCGGGTCTCTTCTTTCTCAATGTAATATCAATTTTAGTTTTTTTTTTCTTTGTTATTGGTAGGTTTTTGAGTGTGAACCCTGAAGGAAAGGTGCCGGTGGCTCTTTTTGACGGAAAATGGGTGGCTGATTCTGACATAATTGTGGGGATACTCCAAGAAAAGCACCCGGAACCCTCTCTTATCACTCCTCCTGAATTTTCCTCCGTGTATTGACTATTCCATCACCCTTTCCTTTTCTCATTTCGAACATTACTCTCTCTTTTTTTGTCTGGGAATATTTTTTGTTGTATCTCTTTTTGTGTTGACTTTAGTGTGTATTTGTTTTAATGTTAAATAGAACTGATTTTGATACTTGAACCGGTCCGAGAATTTATTCTTTCACTGTTCACTGTCGTTGTGTTCACTCTGGAAAATGGTTTTTAAGAGTAGTAATTGTTACCCGTAGTCCTTTTCGAGTTAATTTTTTTGGTGATGAGCGAGGGGATTATGATTTGTTCTAATTCGTTAGAAAATAAAATTTGAATTTAGAGTTTTTTTAAGTACTGAATTGAGTTTGCACAATATGTTTGCTCTTGTAGGGGATCTAAGATATTTGGGTGTTTTGTGAGTTTTTTGAAGAGCAAGGATCCAAATGATGGAACAGAGCAAGCGTTGCTGGCGGAATTGACCGCTTTGGATGAACATCTCAAGGGCCATGTATTATGCGAATTTTATATGATACAATCTTCTTTTTTGTTTATTCATTCTCTTTATGTAGTGGTTTAATTGTCAATGCTAACATGGTGGAGACATGGTCAGGGTCCATTCGTTGCTGGGGAGAAAGTCACCGCTGTTGACCTGAGTTTGGCACCAAAACTGTACCATCTAGTGGTAGTACTTGGCCATTTCAAGAAGTGGAGTATTCCAGAAAGTTTGGCACATGTCCACAACTACACCCAGGTTTGGAGTTGTTTTCTGCAATGGATTTATCCTTGTAGAGCTTTTGTCTTTTGTATACACATTGAACACTGATGATTCGTATTTGGTGATGAAAAATTTATATGGTCAAACTTATCATTCTTCTATATGCTTAAAATCTCTTCAAAATGACTAAAGTATCAATTATTTCATATACACTACTTTATATGACTTTTAGTCTCGCCGAAGTGTCTGAAAAGATAAAAGACTAAAGCAAAGAGGTAACCACAATTGGAAAAGGCTGGTCGTTTCCAATGTCTCTTTTGATAATTTCGTTCCATATATAAAATTTGAAGCGCATCTTTTTCTAAGTTCATATATTGCTACACTGCCACTTTCTCCTTTAAATGGGTCACAGTATGAAGCATGCTATAAAGTGAAAATAAATGTTATATGCTTTAAGTTTGAAAAACTTAACCCAAAAACTGCAGCCTCAGCAATTCGCCTGAATTCACTGGTCTGTCAGTTAAAAACCGTTCTTACATGATAAAATGTTGTCAATTTGTGATTAACTAAATCAATTAATTTCCTGTATTTTATGATTTTCATCATTTGGGTGTGGTGTGACTAATTTTTTGGAATTATGTTGTCTTTCATTCTCAGGGTGGTAACACAGAAAATTGCTTCTGTTATTTACCTAGTTCTTCTCTTAATTGCCCTTTAACCCCCATGTAAATGGAAATATCTGATGGAGCTTTTTTCTTCCCTAACTTCTAGTATTGATTGTTGACAATTGGAGTACTATTTTCTACATATCATTGTTGATATGCTGTCATTGATAAACATCCATGCATATTCTGTCATCATTGCCTTGTAGTTAAAATTCAAACCGCTGTTGTTCTTAAATGATTTTATATAGCTGTATGTGTATTGTCATCAGCAGTCATGACATTATTAGCTGAGAAATGATGGTTTGACAACCACTATTCTGAAAAACATTTTTCTAACAACTCAATATATTATTATATAATATTATTATTATCCATGGTTGTAGATGGGGATGTCAAAATATCAGCACCCTTAGCTCTGTTGCTTTTACTTTAGGTGCAACAGTTAATTCATGAAGATCGGTTATCACATGTAGTCATTGTGAAAAATCTTTTTGTAAATGATAAAGAAAAAGATGTAATTGCTGATTTGAATAGTATAGCTGTAGATGATTTATGGACAATTATTTTCTGTTGCAGCTGCTCTTCTCCCGTGAGTCATTTGAGAAAACCAAGCCTGCAAAGGAGGAATTTGTTATTGCTGGATGGGCACCTAAAGTGAATGGTTGAAGTAGTTCTAAGTTATGAGGTATCTGAACATCACATGTGTACTGTGACCGAACCTTGTTAAGAATAGGATGTCAACCTCATCATGTTTAAGAGTGTGTTGTTCACCTATTAAATAATATTAAATATGTAGTTTCTTGCTGTGCTTCTCGTAGATGGCACGACCATTGTCACTGTAGCTTTTAACATGTTTCATCCACTTCCAGGCTGAAATATGCTTCAATTTATATCTATCCAAAAAGCTTTAGATGTGGCCAAATGGTATTTTTTACTGTGAATGAAGTTTGGATTTTGTCATTCAAAAACATTATGCTAAGGAGTCAGTGCATTGTCCTCTGGTTGTTTGAGGTATATTCTTCGTTGTCTTTATTTATTTATTTATTTTGGTATATAATTACTATTGATCAAAATCTAAATAATATTTTGTTGATTACTCATAGTTTAAATTTAAAATGTCATCATTTAAACACAATGCCTTTCTTAGTTTAAACTTCTGATTAAGTTTAATTGTACCAAATGGTTCTAACATAGAGCTGATTTGTTATGTGAGTTCTTGATTTTTCCCATGCACTTGGAACGGGAAGTCAGTTCTAACAAACAATTCATATCCAGTAAGAAATGAACTTACTTTTACAAAGAACGGAAGAATTCACAGTCAATATTCAACAAGAATTCACATCTAATATTGATAAACAAATTCATTAAATTTTTTGGCTCATAATAATTTTCATCAAGCACCTATTGTTTTCATAAATATCAATTTGTCAAGTTTGTCTCTTCTAAAATGAAACAAAATGCAGAATAATAAGGTAATCACATATTGCTTTTGATTGAATTTTATGAAATAAGTTAAAAAAGTTACCAATTTTAAATTAAGTTTCCTGCTATTATATTCGTTAACTTTTTATTTTAAGCTTACTGTTTTGCATGTGTATATGCTTAACCATATATAATGTTTCAAAATTTCATAAAACTAAACATTTATTCATCAAACTTTTATTGTTTTGCATGTGTATATGCTTAAACTATATATAATGTCTCAAAGTTTCATAAAAATTAAACTGTTGTTGTTAAAATTGGATCTATTGATCAACTTAACAAGAACATGGTGATTTTTTATATAATGTGTTTCATTGGAACCACAAAAGTTTAACAACAACATGGGGAATTGATATAGTGTATATTTCATTAGAACTAACTATAAAACTAGTTCTTAATAGAATATTTAAATAATATATTTTAAAAAATAATTATTTAAATATAATATTTGTAAATTTATTCGTCCTGGATTAGTTATTATTCATACACAAAATTCAATAATAAAAAAATAAATATGTTTGACATAATATAATTATTATTTTTTTCTCTTTCCTAGATTATTTTCTTGTTTTTTATTTTATTTTTTATTCTCTTTTAATACTTGTTTTCTATTTCTCTCTTTTGTTTTCTATTTCTCTCTTTTGTTCTTCTCTCTAATTAAAAGTAGATTGTCAAAACATACTAATATTTTTGGTTTTTTGGCTTAGTCTGTCGTGTGTTAGGTTAATGTACTAATAAACCCTTTTTTACCTAATTATAAATAAAAAACCTTGTATTTATAATATTTTTTTAATTTTTGTTTAAAAAATAATATGTAATTTGTTTATTCAAAATTAAAAACAGTGAAGATGTTTAAAATATAACAAAATCAATAAAATGAATCATTATAATCATATAGTCTTCGAAGTTATAATTGTTCATTCATCAAAATGTCAAACATATTTTATTATAAATATTAGATAACATATCGTTTAATTTTTCTTCTTTCCTCTTAAATACATGTTATAAACACCTGTAATTAAAATGTTTCTAGCTATTAGTTTAAAATCGGGGTTCAAACCTTTATTTACTTCCCAAACTCCCTTGTACTAAACATAACTAAAAGATCATGCTTAAATTTACATCTAGTAAGTGCATCTCTCTAAACTTTAAAGTCAAATTTACATTACTTCAACAAATTTATATCATTATCCAACATAATTCCATCTCATGATACTTTAAAAATACATTATATTTAAAATTATGTCATCTTAAATGATTAGTCTCTAAAAGCAAGTATGACGACATCAACACAAAAATAGGAAAAAAATAACCAAAGCACATGAAGTTTAGGTTTATGATTTATTATTCTTTTTAAATTATATCTAACATAAAATATATTATAAAATTAATTTATTATACATATTAAAATTTTTTTTAACTAATAATTATTTTATAAATCAGGTCAGCTTAAGTAATGAGCTAACCTAATTATATCATACCAAAATTAGTTTGGTTTTATTTAGGCTAAATTTTTTTAAACCTAACCTGACCTATTTTGCAAACCTTTTGGGCTGGTACATCAAACTAAATCTATTTTGATATCCTAATTAAAAATATCAGATTAAAATTTGATAAATGGAGTCTTTTATTATTTTAAAAAAATAAAATAAAAATTCTAAAAATACTATAATTTAATTAAAATATTATAAATTTTGTTATTATGTTACAATTATTAAGAAAAGTTAAATATTTATTTTAAAATAATTTTTTTAATAAATAATTTATTAAAATTACCTAATTTGACTTGGTCAACCTAATTTATAAATAGATTGAATTACTAAATAAAAAAATACATTTAACTAAGTAAATATTTGATATTCTTTAATTAGATAAATAATTGATTTATTATAGTAAAATAATATCATAATAAATAAAATTATTTATTTTTATAATAAATTTTAATATTTTTTAATAATTAGTTGATATATTTGTAGTTTCAATATTAATTTTAAAATTATTATTTTAACATGTTTTTATTAAATTTCAATACAATACTTTGAAGTAGAAGAATAAGTAGGAGAAGAGGAGCAAAATAAGATATGTGATGTAGAAAAAAAATAGAGAGTGAATAATGAGAGAACAAATAAAAAATTATGAAAAAATAAATAAATTTATTTGAATAAATAAACTAAGTGATTTTTTTAAGTATATTATTTATAAGATTAATTCGGTAAAATTGAAAAAAATAAAAAATTGAGCAAAATAGTTAAAAAATAATTCAAAGAGAGGAAACTATTTAAAAAAAAATATTATTTTCAAAATAAAATAATTGTAAAATATTTATAATTTCTTTTAAATTATATGTGGTTAACTTTTAAATGTAAACATTATATTTAATTTCTATTTGCTTTTAAATGTAAAATCTTATAAAATATGTTAGTTTCAATTTTTTAATTCAACTGAGTTATGATATTATATTTATCTGATGTTATTTATATATCATAAGGTTAGAGGTCTAGTTTTCAAAATACATACATTAAACTAACATTCATGAATATATATATATATATATATATATATATATATATATATATATATATATAAAATTAACTAATGTAAAATTTATAGAATTTAATTTATTTAAATATTGAACTTAATTTAAAGTTTTAAATTTAATTAACTAAAATAATTATTTAGAGAGTCTCCCAGTAATATACTGATAGCAAGATTCATTCACACATGCCATATATATCATATAATTTTGATACTCTACAAATTTAAAATGTATGAATACTTGTATAAGACATAATTAATATAAAACTCAAATTTTACTGTATAATATAAAATATTTATTAATTTTTATAATTGAAATAATGAAAATATTTATTTAATATATATTAAAAAAGATTATTCAATGATAACTACATATTATAATATTAACCTAACTAAAATATTTTATTATGATATTTAATTTATTTTATATGATGTTAATATGAAAAATAATCACAAGATGATATATGATATAATTTAAAATCTTAAATGAAGATTTGGTTAAAATATTTTGAAAAATAAGATATGATTATTTTTTAATAAATTATTTTTGACCCGGCCCAACCAAAATAAATAAATAAATTCATACCCTGTCTTTAACTCGTTCTCCAGTCTTCTGGTGGTCGCCGATAGGAATTTTTAACTCCGTGTAAGAGTTCTCTCTTCCTTTATTTGATATTTGTTTGCCTATTAAATATCTAATTACCAGTGTTTAAATGTGCTAAAGTTCATTTTGATATGAAACCAAGTTGATTAGTAGAGGGTTAGGTTAAGACAATTTATAATCTTGGATATTCATGTTGCATGATGAGATGAAGAATTAATCTGGAACTTTAATTTGTTTTTCTGTGTGTATACAGCTTTATTTTATCAAAGTCTCTTATGTATCATTATCTTTTTGTAAAGGTTTAGGGCGTACTCCAAGGCTTAATCTCAGAGGCGGTATCTTTCACTCTTTGCTGTTTGCAATGGCTGACGAAGATTACGATGATATGGACATGGGGTTCTCTTGCTTTATCTATCTCCTTATCACTAACACATAATTTAGGCTTTTCCCTAATTTAATCTGCCTATTGAAAATCCTTATCGGAAACCTAGATGAGAGTGTTTATTTTATTTTATTTTGTTCTCTTGCACGTGAATGTTAAACCAAGAGAAACAACTTTTCAAATGTATTCTCATCTGGGTTTGGTCAAGTTTGCCTGTTCTGTCACATGACCATTAATAATTATGTTTCATGTTTAATTGCTAGGGTTAGAGAGTGTATTTTGTTATCTGTTTATTTCAATTGAATGATTTCTCATGAAATAGTGGATGGTGATACAGATACGAAGATGAGCCACCAGAGCCTGAGATTGAGGTACAAGATTGTCATGTTAATTTTCTTTTTATTTACACAAATATATGTTAAAGATCTCATTAAACTTGGTTATATAAGTTAATGAAATTGGTGTTGGATTGATATGGACAGGAAGGTGCAGAGGATTTGGATAACAACAAAAATGAGGACATGACTGGAGATGCTATTGAAACTGAGGACAAGGAAGAGGAACAACCAGTAGAACGACCTCGGAAGACATCTAAATATATGACAAAGTATGAGCGTGCCAGGATTTTGGGTACCCGAGCTGTTCAAATCAGGTTTTCTTGAAACTTATTGAGTGTGAACTTAAGATTCTGCCAATTGATTATTTGTAACAGTTTACTTTTTTTCCTGAACAGTATGAATGCACCTGTCATGGTGGAGTTGGAGGGAGAGACTGATCCACTTGAGGTTACCTAACCTCCCCATCTTTTCTCTATGCAATTTGATAGTTAAGGATTTGTTTCATGTATTTTTGTTTTTTTAGTTTTTTTAATACAGATTTAGAGATCATGACGAAAATTTAATAATCCTATTTTGAAAATTCTCTCACAGAAAAAGATACAGTGCAACTATGTTTTTCAATTTTTAAAAACTAACAAATTGAAAACTGTCTTGAAAAACAGTAAACAAACAAATAAGTCCTTAATTTCTTGTAATGCTAGTTCATTTGAGCACATTGTGAAACTCTCAGTTTCAAATTTCCAATTATTTTGGTATTGCCAGATGCACACTCTGTGCGATTGCAGCTAAATCTATGGATAACATATAGACGTGTCAAGTGGGTCAGCCCATCTACCAGGCCGAAGGTGGAAAATGTGCTGGACTGACCTGAAATTCTTAAGAACCGTGTATCTCATTCCCAGTCTATTTCATTGACCTGTTTATTATTTTTTTTAATGTAAGTTTATATAACTTTTTAAAATAAGTAATAAATAATATAATCAGGTTAAATAGCTCCAGTGCTCAGGCCAATATGGCCTGGTCTGTGTGGTTGGTTGGGATGAGCCAAAGTGAACAGATTCTCTTTAGGTCACCGTATTTTAGCCAGGTACAGGTCATTGGAGTGATCAATTTTGACAGCTCTAATATGGAATTCTGTCTTTTTGAATATTAATTGTTTTCTTTTTAATATAGAGATTCCCAAGATGGGAAGATAAATTTATATCAGAAATCATTTAATCTCAAAAGTTGGTGGAATAATTTTCTCCTTTATTGTAATTTTTGATCAGCTGGTGGATTATATTCCCCATTAAGTTGATTATATAGTTTCTGATTTTTTGTATGCTGATAAGAACTATGTCCAATATGACATGTCACCTTACAGCTTGCCACTAGAGCTTGTTTGCTTTCATTCATTATGACATGTTGAACTTTTTTTAATACCTGTTAACCTAATTGTTTTATCCCCTATCTGATCTGTAATTGTGATTATTGTGTTGTAGATAGTTCTTTGTGTTAGGATTCACGAATAAACTTTTGTTTGTTACCTCTGCTTGATAATCCTCTGAATTCTTGTTTTTGCAACATCAGATTGCCATGAAGGAGCTTCGAGAGCGGAAAATACCCTTTACAATCCGGCGCTACTTGCCTGATGGAAGGTAAATACTGCCCCTTATATAAGTTGGCCTAATACTTTTTTCTCTTTTGGGGTGGGGGAAATTAAGGTTAGTTACATCCTTTATGCTACTCTGACTCACTATTTTTGGCGACACTCTCCAGCTATGAAGATTGGGGAGTTGATGAACTGATTGTGGAAGACTCCTGGAAGAGGCAAGTGGGTGGCGGGTGATTGATGGTTTCACTGGCAGATGGGGGAGGAGTCACAGGCACTTAAGTTTCCTCGTAACTTTTATCTTTGATTTGTTTGAGGTTCAAAGGCACTGTGCTTTCAAAACTGTTTGAGGTTGAAACTGTGTTTATCTCTGCTACTTGTGGTTTAGTTTAATATTTTCTCTGTTCAACTTGTTTTTATACATCTCTAGGCTTTGAGTGTGCTTGTTGCTGTTTATAAATTCTGGTAGATTTCAATATAAATAAATGTTATAACTAACATCCATGGCATCGGCTAAGACAATATGCTGAAATATTCAAGAGGGCAGGATCAATCCCTATGCGGAAATGTTCTCTGGTCCTCTCAATTAAGTCCACTTTTAAGGGTTATTTCTATTACTACGAAAGTGCAACTTTAACCTGGGATTCATTCAAGCGTCGACCATATGTTGCTAGATTCTTCAAATATCTTTGAATTAGTCTTACCACCTGAGCCAGGTACCTAAGTGTGTATAAGTTTTTCCAAACCTTAAAACTTGACTATTTTGGTGATGGACACTTTGAATAGGATAACTTAATTTATATTATATGCAAACTTTAATATTAAATTTTTATGGAAATAAATATTAGCTCATTTTAGGTATTTAATAACTCAGAAAACTAATATTAAATAAATAACAAATATAAAATTAAAACTTTTTAGTTTAATATTAATAACCAAGAGGAATGTAGTAGGTAAAAAGAAAAAAGAGCATGAAAATATCTGAAATTTTTATATTTGTTCGAAGAAGTTTAAAATTTGACAATATCACACAATTAAAATATTTTAATAATTTTTTTATCCAAAATAATATTTTTCCGTGCATCTACAATTTTCTTGTTGAACATTACAAAGGTAAAAAAATATTCATTTAATAATTTACTTTTAAATTTTTATATTATTATTTATCTATTTTATTTTATTATCTTTTCATCAATCTACCAAAAAAAATTATATTTTAAGATTGTTAATAGAATATTTATAAAAATGAGTTAAAAAAAAAAAATTTCCCTTTCTTGTTCGAACTACTGATGTCAATCCAATGAAACATTTTTTATCACAAAATATTTTAATTTCTTAAAAACAACAAAACAAAATTATATTCTTAACCCAACATAAATTTATCAGGAATGACACAATTGTTGGATCTTTCTTTATATACAAATTAAGGCAGAATAATCAATAGGTTTGTAATATAACATAATTGCCTAATGACTCCAAAAATAATGTAAAAAACACACTAATATAAATCAATTTCGCGTACTTAGAATTTTATGTTAATTTTGTCATCTATATATTTTCTAAAACATTTTTAAATATATTAATTTGATAAAACTACACTAAAATCAATTTGATAAACTGATTTGTTTTCAATTTAAATAGAATGATTTGAAAAATTATTTTTGGTTCTCTTTAAATTTATTTATTTATTGCAATATATAAAAAAATAATAGCATATTTTATTATAGTTTATTTTTAATACCTTATAAATATTTTATAATAAATTAACTAGAGAATAATTATGTATAATCTTAAAAACATTATTATTAACTTTTATAATTATATCATACACAAAAATAATAATTGGATGACGTTATATATTTATACATATAAAGGTAATTAAACACAGTTCGAGTTTTTGTACCTATCTCTTTTGAATGAACATGCCATGCATGTATACAATACGACATGTGGTTTTAATCCCACACATGATACATATATATGTTATGATATACATACATAGATGCATACTGGTGCTGTGCTGTGCTATACTATCTATCTGAGATTAAATTACATGGGTGAAATGGCATTGTGTTATTTGCCAAGTGATGAATAACCTAGCCATATAGCATGAGAAATAGCTAAGTTTATGGTATATATATATATATATCCATGTATGTACGATACAGTTGTAGAGTGAGCAGTGAGTTTTGGGTTGGAAGGGATTTTTAAGGACTCAAGATCCCAAAATCCAAAGGTCACATCCCTTTCAATGATTTAGTCCTCTTCTGCATCTTTGGAGGAATCTGACTCCGAGATCATCTTCTGTATCATCTGTGTCGTCTCTTCCTCAGACACTCTGTCGTTTTTACTCTTCGACTTCCTGTAATAAGGCTCGAAGAATTCCTTGTTTTCCTTCTCTAGCTCATTCCACACTGATGCACGTATCCATATATATTATTCATGTTTCGTAATTTATCATATACTTTCAACATGTTCACGTGCATGCTTGTGTTTTGGTTGGTAGGTAGTGGAACTATAAATGTATCAGATATGAAACATAACATACAATCATGTCTTGATTTGGAACCATAAATTCTAAATCAATTTTTATATTGAATGCTTCAAGTTAAACACTTCTTATACGTCTTATATCTTCTTTGCCCTGTTACTTTTAGTTTCACAAAATAATCAAAATAATAAATAAGTTATGATCTAAGATATAGTATAAGCTAGCATATCAGTATTGAATCCTACGTATAGTTTCGAAAGATTAACATGGTATCAGCAAAAAAAGGTGTGTTGGAAATAAGATTATGTAAATCGTCCATGTATCGTGTTCTTTGTGGTTTGAACATAGAAAACATCACAACTTAAAAACCTTTGTGAACAGTGTAAATGATATATATATTTCTTCCCAAAAAAATGATGTGTGGTTTCTGTATGATATTAGACCAATGCGGATATTCTTCTTTGTTTATTGAAGATATAAGGATTTTAATCTGCTTATATCTCATTATAATATAACATGCAAGTCACTTTACGTTTAGGATTTTCATTTGTACAAACTGAGTTTATAAATTAATAATGCTTTTAAAATCTAAACTATATTTTAACCGTCCATGTTTCATACATGTTTTCATATGTAAAGTTCCTTCGATTTGAAGGAAGGAATTGAAAATTATAAGTTCGCTAAAACAAATCACAATTCAACTAATGATTTTCAAAATGAAACCTTGAAGACTGCCCAAAATTTCATATGAAAAATCAACTTTAATTACTTGTGGAAATACAAGTATAATTCTAAGTCTCACATTAACTAAGAATGAGAAAGTTAAACAATATATAAGGAAATATGACCTATAATTTAATTTCTTATGGTTTTGGATTGAGAGTGATATCAATCATTTGTATGGATTGGATTCATGTCTCATGAATCTTAGTGAATCCCCTTTAAAAGATCCAACAAGTAGTATCAGAGCCGACAATGAGATAGAGTGACTAATTGTTGTAAATTAAGGGGTATTGCAAAACACAGAATGTGTTCTCACACGTTGCAAAAGACTGTTTCAGAGAACGTGTTCTCACACGTTGTAGAAGACTATTTCAGAGAACATTACAGAAGACCGTTTCAGAGAACGTGTTCTCACACACGTTACAGAAGAGTGTTTCAGAGAACGTTACAGAGAACATTACAGATCCACTACTAAGTCTTCCATAACTGTTACAGACTTTCTCTTAGTCTATGACTGTTACAGACTTTCTTTTATAAATAAAGACCACTTCACACTCTTCAGAAGACACCTCTCTCATCTTCTCTTCTCTGATCTTCTTTCTATGATCCTGGGTTAATTTACTCTTTTGAGAGTTTCTTGCTAGTTTCTGAGATCCTCGGATATTCCGAGAAGTTCCTGTTGTATCTTGGGGGACTTGCGCAATACACCGCGGATAAGTCCTTAAGGACAGTAATTATACACGCCTCAGGAATAAATTGCTCGTGTCTCTGTCAGCTTTTACAACAATCTTAAGGGCTTATGGCTGACAATACGAACATCAACAACTTCCTTAACAATTTTAGAATATTGGATAGTGAAAGAAAGGGAATTATGAAGTGCTCATGGATCAAGGTTAGTCTTTTGATTATGATTCATGTATGTTAATCAATTCATGTATGTTATTATATGATTATGATTCATGTATGTTATTATGTGAGAATCATTCATGTATGATATTATATAATTATGATTCATGTATGTTATTACGTGAGAATAAAGAATCTAAACGTGAAGAGTAGTTTTATAGAATTAGTAACGTACAAAAGCTACAAATTAAAATACATGTGGTATCAGAGTCATATTTATTAGATTTATGATTTTTTCTCTATGATAATTTTTAAATTATGCTTTTTCCAAAATTGAATAAAGGAATAAATCATAATCTATGTTTTAAGCTGCAATCAATTTCAAATATAAATTAATTTCATAGCCCCTGTGTGAATGACACTGTAATTCTTATTGAAATGTGAATGACCCTGTAATTGATTTTAATTGAAAAAATAAATTACATGATTGTGTTAAAGGTGAATCATATATGAAATTGATTACTGCATGTTATAATTATGATGAAAGAAAGGTAAACTTTTAGATCAAATGCTATCAGCGTACATCATGCAGCTTGTCCATAGAGCACACATGTCAAACACAATTTCCTTTTTCGGATTTATTACACCAATGAAACAGGAAAAATAAATTATGCTTCGTGAATATATGAATTATGCATGAGTATTATATGTTGTGAGACATTTGTTTTGGTAGTGAACAATTAACATTTACGTGTGCATGACTTAGATTTACGTATTATTTTATTGTGTAGATATGTGTAGGATATTATTTTGTCTGCATATTATTTTGTACATACGTATAAGTAAAATATTATTTTGTTCATATATTATTTTGTACATATATATATAAGTAGAATATTATTTTGTACATACGTATAAGAAAGGATTGAGACTGTATGAAATCAGTGATCTAACCCCACTTTACATTCAAGAAAGAAAATTGCTTTTTGTGGAAAGTAAGGTCATCATACACCTCAGTGTAGACGTGCAATGAGAAACAACAATCCTCCTAAGGAAAATTTAGCCAAAGGAGAAGATACAATTATTGTGGTTGTTTCCCAAATAAATCTTGTGACAAATGTGAGCAAATGAGTGGTAGACTCTGGTGCTACCAGGCACATCTGTGCAAACAGAAGCG